CCTTTGAAGGAGCTCAGGATGTGCTGAAGAGGAAGCAGATAGAGGAGGAAGAGCAGAGGCCCCAGCACAGAACCTTGTGGGACACCATGGGTAAGGGAGGTGGTGGCGGACCTAAACTTGGAGACGGCCACAGAAAAGGAGCGCTCAGAGAGATATGAGGAGAACCACTCCAGAGCAGATCCTGGTAGGCCTACCCAGTCTCTCAGCCTCTCCAGTAGCAGGTGATGGTCAACAGTGTCAAAGGCTGCAGTCAGGTCCAGCAGGACCAGAACAGAACAGTCCCCTGCATCACTGTGAGTCAGAAGGTCATTAGAGACCCTAAGAAGAGCTGTTTCAGTAGAATGAGCTTTACGAAAACCTGACTGGAAGCTATCATAGATGTTATGTTCATCAGGAGCAGCTGTGAATTGTTTAGCCACAACCTTTTCCAAGATCTTGGAGATGAACGGAAGTTTAGAGATGGGTCTGAAGATGCTATGGAGAGAGGGGTCAAGACTCGGTTTTTTAAGAAGCGGGTGGATTACAGCGTTCTTAAAGTAAGCAGGGACCTGACCAGAGAAGCATTAATTATAGAGAGCACGCTGGGACAGATGGACTGAAAAGCACTTTTAAACAAAGATGAGGGTAAGATGTCGAGGGGGCATGCAGAGCTCTTCATAGAGTTAACTAGTTTGGTGTTATCTTGGACCAGGACATGTCTTTCAAATCCCAGGTTTCACAAGTTTGTAGGATTTCCTTTTTCCACCTTCGGAATATTGCTAAGATTAGAAGCATACTTTCCAGGAGTGATGCTGAAAAACTAGTTCATGCATTTATTACATCAAGACTGGATTACTGTAATTCATTACTCTCAGGAAGTCCAAAGAATGTAGTTAAAAGTCTTCAGCTTGTCCAAAATGCTGCAGCTAGAGTTCTGATGAGAATTAAAAAGAGAGATCATATCTCTCCTGTCTTAGCTTCCTTACTTTGGCTACCTGTTAAATTCAGAATCGATTTTAAGATCCTCCTTCTCACATATAAAGCTCTTAATAATCAAGCTCCATCATACATCAGTAATCTGATTGTTCCATACGTTCCTAACCGAGCGCTTCGCTCTCAGACTGCAGGCTTACTGGTGGTTCCCAGAATATCTAAAATTAGGATGGGAGGCAGATCTTTTAGTTTTCAGGCTTCTCTCCTGTGGAACCAGCTCCCAGCCTTAGTCCGTGAGGCTGACACTTTGTCTACATTTAAGAATAGGCTTAAAACATTTTTATTTTATGGGGCCTATGGTTAAAATCTGATGTTAGCCTAAATCAGGACAAGTGGGGGAGTACAGGGAGGTGGAGTGTACAGTCGGTAAATACGACTCTCCCTTGCCCTGCCTCCAACATGCCTCCATCTAAATAGGATAGATTATCCAGAGTTATCTCTGTAGTTATGCTGCTATAGGCTTAGACTGCTGGAGGATACACTGACCACTTTCCACACTCTACTACTTTCTTCTACTATCTGCTCTTTAACTGTATTACTTTCTGCAATTTCAGCTGTTAACTTTATTTTCTCTCTAAGTGTTTTTCTCCCCAGAAGAAGCTACAACGATGTTCTGCTGAGCTGTGGTGGCCTCATGGAGGGGGCCATCGTCTAGCACACTGCAGCTAACCACTTAAACATTCTCCCTCTCCTGATAACTTTTTGCTTTCCTTGACGTTGGACGTGTTACTGCTAGTTTACCCATTTAATTAGAGATCCACTAGGATAAATACAATAAAGTTCATCTCACCAAATAGAATATTTACTAAGACATCACAATAGAACGATAGACACATTATTGTGTGTGTGTGCGCGCGCGCGCGTGTGTGTGTGTGTGTGTGTGTGTGTGTGTGTGTGTGTGCGCGCGTGTGTGTGTGTGTGCGTGTGTGTGTGTGTGCGTGTGTGTGTGTGTGCTCTGTCTACTTGATCCCCAGTGAATCGTGGAGGATGGCTGCTTATACTGAGCCAGGATTCTCTGGAGGTTTCTTCCTGTTAAAAGGGAGTTCTCCTCTCCACTGTCGCTGTATGCTTGCTTAGTATGAGGATTGCTGTACAGTCACTGACACTCGTCAGTGACTTGATGCAATTTGCTGGGTTCCTTATATAGGAAACATTATTTCTGATTGGCTTAATGAACTGTGAATTGGAATGTTTATTATGTGAAGTGCCTTGAGACAACTCTTGTCGTGATTTGGCACTTTATAAATAAACTTGAATTGAATTAAATTAACTCAGGCAAAGAAACAGGAGCAAAGCTATCTAGGATGATGGGCCTGGTTGGAGTCGGGAGAGGCAGCGATAAGGCTGAAGGAGAGATGCTAGATCTAACCTTATTGACTTAGTCCACAAAGAAAGACAGAAAGTTCTCACAGTCTGCAAAAGAGTGGATGGAGGCTGTAGGAGTAGCAGGATAGAGGATGCTGCTGATGGTGTTAAACAGCACCTTGGGGTTCCCTTTGCTCTGGGACACCAGGTTGGAGAAACTGGAAACCCTCGCTTCTCTGACTGCAGAGTTAAAGGATGTCAGAAGATCCTTTAGGTGCAGCAGATGGACGTGGAGATGGGTTTTCTTCCACAAACGCTCAATTTTTCTGCACTGGCGCTTCAGGCTGCGAAGGCTGTCATTAAACCAGGGAGTAGGGTTCACTGCAGGAACTGATCTGGTTCTGACAGGACAGATGTTGTCCAGAATGAAGAGTCAGTGCTCGTTAAACTGAGAAGTTAAGGAATCTGGGTCGTTATCAGAAGAACAGGGTGGATCAAAAGCAGCAGAAAAATTGCTAGCTGTGCTCTCATTAAGAAAATGAGAACTAACCATAAGGCGAGCAGGAGGTGGGGACGCAGAAACTGACAAGTTAAAGAAAATGCAATGGTGATCTGAAATATAAACGTCCTCAGGACAAACGCTGTCAGCATTTGGACTCATGGTAAAAACAAGGCCTAGAGTGTGCCCCCTAGTGTGTGTGGGGCCAGAAACATGCCGGGTAAAGCTGAAGGAGTCCATAAAGCTGGAGAAATTCATGGCAAAGTGATCAGAGGGATCATTAACATGGATGTTAAAGTCACCAACAATCACCAGTCTGGAAAGCTTCACAGTGGAGGATAGAAAGTCACTAAACTCCTGAAGAAAAGAACTGTTTGGACCAGGTGGACGATAGACCACAGCACAGTAGAACGGGTCTTTACGCCCGACTTTAATCAGCTGCAGTTCGAAGAAAGCAAAGTGACCAGAGGTTGTAGAGCTACATGGAAGATGGTCTCTGAAGACAACAGCTAGGCCTCCACAACGACCAGAACCCCGAGGCTGGCTAAGAAAAGAATAACCACTCGGGCAGAGTTCAATCAGACCAGAATAATCAGATGTTTGCTGCCAAACTTCAGTCAGAAACATAAAATCCAGGTTTTTAGAGAGAATTAGATCATTGAGCAGGAAGGACTTATTGTTAACAGAGCGGGTATTTAATAGAGCCATGCTGAGTGAGGTGGAGGAATCAGAAACTACAGAAACAGCTGGAGTTAGAGGACGTAAATTAGCAGGGTTAGATCCATGGTGTTTTTAAAAACCACTCATGGAAGGAACAGAAGGAGAAACCACCGAGGAATGAGGATAAACCGACCTTAAAAAACTTGGAGCGATGAACCGCGTTGCAACGCGGCCTGGCGGGAATGCGGAAGTGGCGCTCAAGTCGCTAAACAAAGAACAAGAACCTAGAAGATCACGCCAATGTTTACTAAATAAACCACGCTTTAAGAGAAGTCTTATTCTCACCTGTATTCCTGCTCGTTTACCTCTTTTCCTCCGACGATTTCCCGGGACCGGACAAACATCGCTGGAGGTGGGCAGCTCGGGACCGTCGTTTGGCTCTGGGCCAGTGCGCCACTCAGGTAAACAAAGAGGGAGGTACGTCCTCGGTGCATCTTGGGCGATCGTGAACGAACGGAAGGATAAAAGAGTCTGGCGATCATAGGAGATGGTAGCAGGGACACTACTGAAGAGGATCGCAGACAGGAGCAAGGTGGAAAAGAGGAGGTTAGTGGAGAAAAGTTTGAAAAAGTGGCCGGTGACTGCGGCTAAGCCAAGCACAGGCGCCATCTTGTCTGCCTGTGCTTGGCTTAGCCGCAGTCACCGGCAAACAACATGTCCGCCTAACTTTAACTCAGTCTGCGAGAGTGATGTAAGCTTTGAGTCCTGCAATGAAAAGCTTCAGCTCCTGGGGAAGCTGATTACAGCTGGTTTAATACGACGTAAAGAACAAAGTCTGGGTGGAGTGAGTTGAGTTTCCAGGGATGGCTGCAGAGATAAACACCTCCCAGTCAGACGCAGCTACGCTCACCAACACCCGTCTGTATGAGCGTCAGAAGGCTCAGCTAATAACCGAACCATAAGGGAGTTCATGATGCTGGAAGAGCAGCCTTTCTCTGTGGTGGAAGAAGAACCAAGTTTATTCATACAGCACGTGTCACAGACCGAGGTCACGAAAGGAATCACAATAAAACGCTGAAAAATAATACAATGAGTAGAAAACAACAGGCTCTGCCCACTGCTCAGTCACTAAGTAACCCACTACTACTAATAATAATAACAATAAATCTCCCAAAATGCTAATTAGTAAGATTCCTTTGCTTTGTAGTGCTCTAGCCTACTGAGAGCTTAAAAGTGAAAGATTGTTACTGACAGCAGCTACATCTAAGTGTTTATTCATTTTCCTTTTGACTGAATAGTTGCTGATTTTATCTTGGAGACGTTTCTCCTCACAAGCTTCAGATCTAAAGCTTGGGTTGTGAGTAGGAGGCTTAGAAGTTCTGGTCAGAAACAAACACGCTGATTGTGATGGAAGTTTTTATTGTTCCTAAAGTAGAAATCTGTTTTTATCTAAATGAAGTTCATGTTCTTGTTCCTTTTTCCCACATCATGTAGCCATTATCACTCATGGTGTAAATATAAAGGTATGGTGGTCTGTAACATCATGTGTCTGTGTTTCCTACAGATGTTCCACAGCTGGTGCTGGTTAAAGAAGAAGCTCCTGAAGAACAAAGTGCTGGTGTGGACCAGCAGGGTGCTGGTGTGGACCAGCAGGACCCAGAACACCTCCACATAAAGGAGGAACAGGAGGAGCTCTGGACCAGTCTGGAGGGAGAGCATCTCTGTTTGAAGGAGGAGACTGAAGCTGTCGGGTTTCCTGTTACTGCTGTTTCTATAAAGAGTGAGGATGATGAAGAGAAACCTCTGGTCTCACAGCTTCATCAGCAGCAAATAGAAGACAGAGATGTTCCAACCAGCAGCTCAGCTGACCAGATGGCAGCAGAAACTGGTGGAGGAGCAGGAACTAGCAGGAACCCAGATCTGAACCCTCATGAACAAACATCTGATTCTTCAGAGACTGAAGTTAGTGGAGATGATGATGATGATGATGATGTGAATCGGGACTCTGAGCTGTCAGACTCTGGGTCTGAAACTGGAGATGAAGATGATGACTGGAATGAGAGCAGGTCTTCTGAGTCAGATGGTAAGTCTGTCAACAAGTTCTTCCAAAGTGGTCTCTCCAGAGACACGTGAGGGAGACAAGTCATCCAGCAATAAGGTCTTCAGGCTGTTTGGTTAATAAGAAATGTGTTAGAGTGAAGCAACATGTAGACTCGTGCAGGAAAGTCCAGAAGAAACCTAAATCATTTACAGTGGGGCAAAAAAGTATTTAGTCAGCCACCGATTGTGCAAGTTCTCCCACTTAAAATGATGACAGAGGTCAGTAATTTTCATCATAGGTACATTTCAACCGTGAGAGACAGAATGTGAAAAAAAAATCCATGAATCCACATGGCAGGATTTTTAAAGAATTTATTTGTAAATCAGGGCGGAAAATAAGTATTTGGTCAATAACAAAAATTCAACTTAATACTTTGTAACATAACCTTTGTTGGCAATAACAGAGGTCAAACGATTACTATAGGTCTTTACCAGGTTTGCACACACAGTAGCTGGTATTTTGGCCCATTCCTCCATGCAGATCTTCTCGAGAGCAGTGATGTTTTGGGGCTGTCGCCGAGGAACATGGACTTTCAACTCCCTCCACAGATTTTCTATGGGGTTGAGGTCTGGAGACTGGCTAGGCCACTCCAGGACTTTCAAATGCTTCTTACGAAGCCACTCCTTTGTTGCCCGGGCGGTGTGTTTTGGATCATTGTCGTGTTGGAAGACCCAGCCACGTTTCATCTTCAAAGCTCTCACTGATGGAAGGCGGTTTTGGCTCAAAATCTCACGATACATGGCCCCATTCATTCTGTCCTTAACACGGATCAGTCGTCCTGTCCCCTTAGCAGAAAAGCAGCCCCAAAGCATGATGTTCCCACCCCCATGCTTCACAGTAGGTATGGTGTTCTTGGGATGCAACTCAGTATTCTTCTTCCTCCAAACATGACGAGTTGAGTTTATACCAAAAAGTTCTACTTTGGTTTCATCTGACCACATGACATTCTCCCAATCCTCTGCTGTATCATCCATGTGCTCTCTGGCAAACTTCAGACGGGCCTGGACATGAACTGGCTTCAGCAGCAGAACACGTCTAGCACTGCAGGATTTGATTCCCTGCCATTGTAGTGTGTTACTGATGGTGACCTTTGTTACTGTGGTCCCAGCTCTCTGCAGGTCATTCACCAGGTCCCCCTGTGTGGTTCTGGGATTCTTGCTCACCGTTCTCATGATCATTTTGACCCCACGGGATGAGATCTTGCGTGGAGCCCCAGATCGAGGGAGATTATCAGTGGTCTTGTATGTCTTCCATTTTCTGATAATTGCTCCCTCAGTTGATTTTTTCACATCAAGCAGCTTGCCTATTGTAGATTCACTCTTCCTAGTCTGGTGTAGGTCTACAATTCTTTTCCTGGTGTCCTTTGAAAGCTCTTTGGTCTTGGCCATAGTGGAGTTTGGAGTCTGACTGTTTGAGGCTGTGGACAGGTGTCTTTTATACAGATAATGAGTTCAAACAGGTGCCATTAATACAGGTAACGAGCGGAGGACAGAAAAGCTTTTTAAAGAAGATGTTACAGGTCTGTGAGAGCCAGAGATTTTCCTTGTTTGAAGTGACCAAATACTTATTTTCCACCCTGATTTAAAAATAAATTCTTTAAAAATCCTACCATGTGAATTCATGGATTTTTTTCACATTCTGTCTCTCACAGTTGAAGTGTACCTATGATGAAAATTACTGACCTCTGTCATCATTTTAAGTGGGAGAACTTGCACAATCAGTGGCTGACTAAATAATTTTTTGCCCCACTGTATGCCCTGATGTGGGGCTGGGGGGGTGCGTCGAAATGGTCGGGACATAAAAGGGGGTGCACGGCTAAATAAGTTTGGGAACTGCTGCATTAGATGATTAAAAAAAAATTTTTTGTAATTGTCAAATTAATCAACATTTTCTTTTTTCTCTTATTATGTCTAGATCTTCCACAGCATCATGTCTATGAAAAGGAGAAGAATTTGACTATCCAGCAGCTCTTTAACCAGGAGTTGATCTCCTGTTCAGACCAGGAAGAACCAGAACAGCTAAAACTTTTCCAACATGAAGGGCAGCTCCTGAACCAGGAACATCTTACCTTCACGAATACTCCTTTGTCTGAAGAAACAGACTGTCATGAACCAGAACCAAACAGGAACCAGCCATTGTGTCAGAGTTCTACAGAACCTGAGAACCAACATCAGGGTGGATGCAGAAAAGAAAACTCAGAATCAAACGACAATGAAGAACTGAAACTGAATAAAAGGCGTCAGCGAAGCAAAGAACACAGAGAAAGTGTAAGTGGTGAAATACTAAAAAAAAACAAGAGGGCTCACAGAGGTGAGAGACCATTTTATTGTAAGCTCTGTGGAAAATATTTCAGTCACAAATCTGATTTAAATATTCACGTGAGAACTCACACAGGTGAGAAGCCATATCCATGTAAAACTTGTGGTAAATGTTTTGCTATCAGTGGTCACTTGACTGCACACATGAGAACTCACACAGGTGAGAAGCCATATCCATGTGAAACTTGTGGTAAATGTTTTACAGACAGTGGTAGCTTGACTGCACACATGAGAACTCACACAGGTGAGAAGCCATATCCATGTAAAACTTGTGGTAAATGTTTTACAGAAAGTGGTAGCTTGACTAAACACATGAGAACTCACACAGGTGAGAAGCCATATCCATGTAAAACTTGTGGTAAATGTTTTGCTATGAGTGGTCACTTGACTAAACACATGAGAACTCACACAGGTGAGAAGCCATATCCATGTGAAACTTGTGGTAAATGTTTTACAGACAGTAGTAGCTTGACTGCACACATGAGAACTCACACAGGTGAGAAGCCATATCCATGTAAAACTTGTGGTAAATGTTTTACAGAAAGTGGTAGCTTGACTAAACACATGAGAACTCACACAGGTGAGAAGCCATATCCATGTAAAACTTGTGGTAAATGTTTTACAGATAGTGGTAGCTTGACTGCACACATGAGAACTCACACAGGTGAGAAGCCGTATCCATGTAAAACTTGTGGTAAATGTTTTATAGACAGTGGTAGCTTGACTATACATGTGAGAACTCACACAGGTGAGAAGCCATATCCATGTAAAACTTGTGGTAAATGTTTTACTAACAGTGGTAGCTTGACTGCACACATAAGAACTCACACAGATGAGAAGCCATATCCATGTAAAACTTGTGGTAAATGTTTTACTAACAGTGGTAGCTTGACTAAACACATGAGAACTCACACAGGTGAGAAGCCATATCCATGTAAAACTTGTGGTAAATGTTTTACAGACAGTGGTAGCTTGCCTGCACACATGAGAACTCACACAGGTGAGAAGCCATATCCATGTAAAACTTGTGGTAAATGTTTTACTAACAGTGGTCACTTGACTGCACACATGAGAACTCACACAGGTGAGAAGCCATATCCATGTAAAACTTGTGGTAAATGTTTTACAGATAGTGGTAGCTTGACTACACACATGAGAACTCACACAGGTGAGAAGCCATATCCATGTAAAACTTGTGGTAAATGTTTTACTAACAGTGGTCACTTGACTAAACACATGAGAACTCACACAGGTGAGAAGCCATATCCATGTAAAACTTGTGGTAAATGTTTTACTAACAGTGGTAACTTGACTACACACGTGAGAACTCACACAGGTGAGAAGCCATATCCATGTAAAACTTGTGGTAAATGTTTTACAGATAGTGGTAGCTTGACTACACACATGAGAACTCACACAGGTGAGAAGCCATATCCATGTAAAACTTGTGGTAAATGTTTTACTAACAGTGGTCACTTGACTGCACACATGAGAACTCACACAGGTGAGAAGCCATATCCATGTAAAACTTGTGGTAAATGTTTTACAGACAGTGGTAGCTTGACTGCACACATGAGAACTCACACAGGTGAGAAGCCATATCCATGTAAAACTTGTGGTAAATGTTTTACTAACAGTGGTAGCTTGACTAAACACGTGAGAACTCACACAGGTGAGAAGCCATATCCATGTAAAACTTGTGGTAAATGTTTTACTAACAGTGGTAGCTTGACTAAACACATGAGAACTCACACAGGTGAGAAGCCATATCCATGTAAAACTTGTGGTAAATGTTTTACAGACAGTGGTAGCTTGACTGCACACATGAGAACTCACACAGGTGAGAAGCCATATCCATGTAAAACTTGTGGTAAATGTTTTACTAACAGTGGTAGCTTGACTAAACACATGAGAACTCACACAGGTGAGAAGCCATATCCATGTAAAACTTGTGGTAAATGTTTTACAGAAAGTGGTAGCTTGACTAAACACATGAGAACTCACACAGGTGAGAAGCCATATCCATGTAAAACTTGTGGTAAATGTTTTACTAGCAGTGGTATCTTGACTACACACATGAGAACTCACACAGGTGAAATTTGATTTCATCTTCTATGAGATTCATTTTCTTTACCTTCTGATTTGAAAATTCACACTTGAGATTGTATTCATTAAAATATGATTGGCAACATACATATCATAGATGCCTTAAAGTGCTCAAGGCATGGGTGGAGACTTATTTCATCCACACTTCCTGTTAGAAAAACGCTTCTGAAAAGTAATTAGCTGACAACATCACATTTTGTAGCTTGCCTTAGGAATGTAGATGTGATTGAGCACATGCGCACGTGATTTAAGACACGGGTGGTCTGTGATGTCACAAGCACACGTGGGCAGGTCAAAAGCGCAGAGAAGTCCGCAGTGTCCATTATTAAACAAAAGCAGCCTAAGTAGTTTTGCTTTTGGACACTTTCTGACTTTCATATTGCATCCTGCTTTGCTGGGTCTGGCAGATTGTGTGTGTGTGTGTGTGTGTGTGTGTGTGTGTGTGTGTGTGCGCGCCTCACAGCAGTGAGGGACAGAAAAAAAAACAGCTTTTGTGAGAGGCTCCTTAATTCCACAGCATCAACAATAATGAATCACGCATGCGGGAAGCCTCCAGCAGGCTGATTCCCGCCGCCAATCGGAGTTATTAATGGTAGGCATGCTTTTGAGTTAGCCAATCAGTCAGCAGTGGGCGTGTCGGCCCTGCTCAGCTCCAGATGGACCTCCTTGGGAAGAGGGCTGGAAAGACATCTGGAGAGAGAAAACTCCTAACCCATGCCATTATTTTACTCAGATCTTTAACTTGTGGTCACATCTGCCCCGTGAAGCCGCTAGACACACACACAGGGGCCCCTCAATTCCTTCTGCTCCACTGTATTCCCTGCCACCTCCTGACAGGTATGACAGCTCTGCTGTGTGTGAGTATGGACTCCAAGCTCCTGTCTTTAAGGTAACTGGAGGCCTAATTGAGGATCAAGAGGTTGTTTCGCCCACACTCGTATAGGAAAAAGTACTAGTTGACTTAAACTGACACAAACAAAAAGGGAACTTGAAACCTTGGCCACCCAAACCACAAGCCAAATGAGGGAATGCTCACGTCTCGCTCCTCCACATGCTCTCTGACATCACATTTTCTACAGACAGTCATGATTCAGTATGTTGATGACATTTCAATAGCCTCCACACCTTCTCAGACTTGTCTGTCAGACACTCACTCCATTCTGTCCATGATCGCTTCAGCTGATTTCAAAGTTTCCAAAACAAACTCATGTTGTAGGTCTGTGGTGCCATTTTTGGGACACCTTGAGTCTCTGACCGGTCATGAAATGTCTCCCTCCCACCGCTCCTCCATTTTACACCATCCCCTTTCTGTCAAGGTGAAAGACATGCTGTGTTCTTTGGACATCACTGAGTGCGTTTATATGCAGCCAGTAACCCTTTTAAAACCCGAATATTCGCAATAACCCGGTTCCGCACGGCCATGTAAACACCGCCAAAAACCCGGATACGCTCATAACCAGGTTTTTAAAAACCCGGTTACTACACCTGGGGTAACCCTTTTCTAACACAAATGTTTGGTCGTGTAAACGCATGTCGGGAGATCCCCATCAAAGCGTGTGTTCTGCGCATGCTCTGTTCGCAAGGAATCTTGGTCTTTTGAGTAGCGAGATGTCTTGTATGCGCCAGAACACCAAAAGTAAACAAGTTGGGAGCAACATGGCGAGTCGCGGCACAGCACCACACTTTTGGAGTGACGAGGAAACCGGTCTTCATCGGTCTGGTGAAAAGTATGAACATTATGTCTTTTGTTGACGGCCGAAAGTACAGAGACAGCGAAATATGACGCGTATTGCGTCTTGACGTAGTCCATACGTCCTGACGCTACCCCAACGTCCGCATTTAAATTGGGTTATGCAAGTTAGGGGTAACTCTTTCTATTTATGCTTGTAAATGGGTTATTCTGATCAACTCAGAAACCCGAATACCGACCTTAACCCGATCATAACCCAGATATTGGCTGCATGTAAACGTAGTCGCTGGCTTTAACTGTCAGTTTGTTCCTGATTATGCAGGTATGACCCCCCTTTTGCTTGCGTTAGTGAACCAACAGGGTATGAGAAATCTGTCTGTACCTTTATCCTGGATTTTTGACTCAGAACAATCGTTCATTGCTCTCAAACAGGCTCTTGCTACCTGTTGAGAGGAGACTTGGGGCAGACTCGGTGGTCACATTTTCGAGTCTGGGCCAAGCTCATCTCTGTGAAAACCTCTGACCTCCTGCCATTCCACTCTTGCACACAGGCCCCAGCTCCTGAAATGTGTGTGTGAACTCTGCACTTCCGCTCCTGACTCTGAAGTGTGTGCGTGGGCCTCTGCCCTGCCCCCGCTGGCCCCCCTGCTCTGCACTCAGTTCTGTGGAACAAGCTGACTGGGTCCAACAGAACCAAGAGGCAGAGGTGTGAACGCTGACTTCTTGGAAAGTCAGAGCGTGAGGTCTAAAAAGGACTGCATGTGTAAAGAAGATGGGGACAGGAAACCACAGAAAGTCACACTTCAGAAGAATGGGCCTGCAAGAGAGGCGAGAGACAGTTTTTGTGCAGCAAAAATAAAGATGTGAATTTTCCTCTCAACAGGTGTTAAAAAAGTTGACGAGACAGTAAAACAAAGATCAGGAACAATGAAAAAATATTGTAATGCATAATGTGGGAGGTGGGAAATAAAAGTGTCTAGAGTTCTGGTCAGGGAGAGAGTTGGTGATTGACAGTTGAAGTGTGTGTTACACAGAGAGCTTGTTTTCCCGCAGATCTGCTAGACTTGGGTTTTTGATACGAGCTTTTCCTATTTCGCCTACGCTATTGTTCCCTGTTTGGAGTACCTTTTTTCCTTTTTGTGTGTGGAATAAACTTTTTCTTCCTTCGGGAGGAAATTAAAAGGCAATTTGTGGGGGCCTCCTTTATTTCTCTGGCTCGGCAAGGTGAGTTTGCTGGTTGCTTCATTCCATCCCAGGTTGTTTAGATCAGCTGTGGCTTGATCAGAGGGGAAACTGACGGGGGTCTGTGATGAGTATCATAAGCTCTTGCAGTGCCTGTGTGTTCTTATCAGCAGAGTCTTCCTACAGCTAAATTAAGGTGATTTTACCAGAATTAAAGGCCTAGATTGCATATAAGTAACAGTTTTTCTCTACAAAGTGAGAGTGCCTGCAGGAGGGGGCAGAGGTCACGCCCACCATCTAGTACCATGAATAAGTGCCTAGAGATTTATCACCTAGAGTTAGCTCGGTGGCCTGGTTCACGACACTACCCCCGACAACATTCTACTGTTTTTTACTTGATGTTTCTGAAAGACTCCGGGAGTTGACATCACTTCTCCCGCCATGCAACAGTTCAAATCAAAACGGCGCCATCTTGGCAGGCAGTAGCCCGCAGCTAGGCTATTTGTTGTTGTCAGAAAACTCAATCAAACGGGAAATATGGTAGATTCCTGTTGTGCCCCAGGATGCCAGAAAAGACGTGGATGAGATAAGGGAAGAGCCTTCTACAGGATTCCCCAAGATCTGGAACGCCGCAAACGTTGGATCATCGCAATGAAACGCGCTAGCCTCCAGGCTCAAATGAAGCTGTGGGATCCTGAGAGTAAAGGTTTTCGTTTATGCAGTGACCACTTCATATCAGGTACTTAAACCAACGTTTCCTGTATATGGTATTTATTTTAAATGCATTTATTACGATTCTTAGTGGGCTTCCTAAACATATTTTGGCGTGGCTTTTTCTGTCTTATTACTCATAGCAACAAGTAAACATCACGTAAAACGTTGCCTTGTGATTTCTGCGTGCTGTCGTTTACGTGTTTTATGATCACAGCAATTACCCGGCTAAGCTATATTTCATTTTCAAGCAATGGTTGATCAATTGTCAGATCACACATAAAAAGCACTTTGGATTGCTATAATCTGTCTCCCCGAGATAGATCTCAGGCAGATCCTGAGACGCTCCTGCCTCACATATTTATTTTATTCACGGAAAAAAATCAGACTGGTGATTTCTCCTGGCATTCAGTTTATACATTCAAACAGCACAGCACTCTATTTAAACTACTTACATGTAAATCTATGTTATTTGTCCATCCAGGGCCGGATTATCATTGCAGGGGCCCCTGGGCACCCACCCCACCCCACCCGGCCTCCCCCAACATTACTGCCTCCCAGAAGCACTTTTTAGACATTTCATAACATTGTCAATATTAAAACTTGCTTACTTATGTTGACACAAGGGTTAAATATCTGCATGTTTTTTGATTGTCTCCTCTCCTTCATCCTCTTGTCTCCTGTTTCCTTTCTCATCTTGCCTCCTGTTTCCTTCCTCATCTTGCCTCTTGTCTCCTTCCTCATCTTGTCTCCTGTCTCCTTCCTCCTCTTGTCTCCTATCTCCTTCCTCCTATTGCCTCCTGTCTCCTTCCTCCTCTTATCTCCTGTTTCTTTCCTCCTCTTGTCTTCTGTCTCCTTCTTCCTCATGTCTTCTGTCTCCTTCCTCCTCTTGTCTCCTGTTTCCTTCCTCCTCTTGTCTTCTGTCTCCGTCCTCCTCATGTCTCCTGTCTCCTTCCTCCTCTTGTCTCCTGTTTCCTTCCTCATATTGTCTCCTGTCTCCTTCCTCCTCTTGACTTCTGTTTCCTTCCTCCTCTTGTCTCCTGTTTCCTTCCTCGTCTTGTCTCCTGTCCCCTTCCTCCTCTAGTCTCCTGTTTCCTTCCTCCTCTTGTCTCCTGTTTCCTTCCTCGTCTTGTCTCCTGTCTCCTTCTTCCTCTTGACTCCAGGCTCCTTCCTCCTCTTTTTGTTTCCTCTTATTGGTCTCCTCTCTTGCCTTTAGAAAAACTGCTTTCTGGCCTTTCTATTAGTAAATTCATTTACAATGTCATCAAAGTCCAGATTCCTGACAAGCTGAGATTTAATTGCCATCAGTGACAGTGCACTGAGGTACTGTTGAGTTTGTGTTGTTCTCAGTTCATTTTTTATTCTTGCCATTTGTGAAAATCGTTCCCCTTCACAATTTGTAACTGGTAGCAGGTGCGTTGCAAGCTTTTCAAAAGTGTGGGGGATGTTGTCTTTCCTAAAATAATTTTATGTTATTAATCTTGTTAGTTTAAATTCCATAATAGCTGAGCAGGTGCGAATTTTAAGCGAGTCACGCATGTCTCCGTTTTAAACATGTTTAAACGGTTCAGAATACAAACTCAGGCTCTGTCTCAATAGATTGGTGCGACTAAAGTTTGTACTCAATGAAATTTTTACATTAAATTGTTCAAGTTGGCTTTTGTATGACCTTCTTCACCACTCTCTCTTTATTCTGCTCTCCCCACCTATTCCACCTTCCTCAGGATCCACTGATTTCCCTCTTTCCTATTCTCTCTCTCTTTCTTAACATTTTTTTAATCACAATTGTCTGTTTTTGCTCATTTTAAATATATTTTTAAACATTTTCTAAATGTTTTTTTATATTTTTACATTTTTTGTTTTTGTGAAGCGCCTCGTGATTTTTATCTTGAGAGGCACTATAGAAATGATATTTTCTTCTTCTTCTTCTAAACCATGTTGAAAAGGTAAGAAAAGGATCTGATTAAATTGTTTTTCCCCTCATTTACAGTCACGGAGTACAGCGCAGTGCGCATGGCTTTGGGGTTAATTAAGTTTTATTGTTTCTGTTTGCAACAATCTTCACAAGAAGGCAAAACAGTTAAATGGCAGGGTTACAGATATTTCCATTTGACTGTTTATGTTGACGGATAAACTCAAGGATGTTGGTTGTTTTGAAAGAATTACCCTGACGCACACTGATGCGCACACAGATGAGCTGACATTTTAATCGTTACGCACATCGCGGAGGTAACTAAATCAATCAAGAAAAGATTCCCATCAGAACATCAGAGCTTTATACTGGACACTGTGCTCAGCGCAGCTCGCAGCGCACATGGAAGACAGTGAGCTGTAGATCTGTAGAGAGGTTCGCAGCGCAGCGTAGAACCACAGCGATGCAGTAAGATTTCCTCTCACTGAAGTGGTCTGGAAACCCGGTCTCTCTGAGGGATGTGTCACTTGGAAAAAATTTCTCTGATTATGAAACTTTGGCTGAATAGCGCTTGTTCCCGTCTCCAATATGAAGACGCATGATGCATCCAGTCTGTTTGAGGCAGATTAGCCTCTTCAGCTCAGAAAGCACCTGTGGAGACCACACACAAAGTTTATGTGGAGCAGAAGCAGTCGGGCCACGGCAGGTGAAATGTTCCTAGCCTACATGAAGTGAAATTGTTTA